AACCTGCCAGTCATAGCTGCTGCTCTGGTTTGAATGTGCGCCTCAGAATTCATGTGCTGGGAACTGAGTGCCAGCACAATAGCATCATTGCAGGACACTGGGGAGAGTTAGGGGAGGAGTATAGGCTGTGAGGGAGGGCCCTGCTTTAGTGACCAGATTAAAGCCTCTATGAATTGGGAATGGGCCTCACCCTCCTGCCTTCTGACTTGTGAATATGCAATAAGAAGGCCCAGACCAGACACCAGCACTGTGATCTCAGAATGTCTAGGCTCCTGGAGTGTAGAGAAATAAGTGTATGCTCATCAAAAATTATTCAGTCAATGGGAATCTGTTACAGCTTACAAAACTGATGAGGATGCCTAGTGTGAGTACTGAGGATTACAGTGCGCCAGACGTAGGCTTACGTGCCATGCAGTCACTGTCTTAAATCTTCACTAAGGCCCTGTGAGTTAAATTCTCTTATTACCACTTCACAGAAAATAAAAACAGAAATTCAGAGAGGAAATAAATTAAAAAGAATTTTTAAAAATCTTTCTTTTGCTTCTTTGGAAGGCTTATATTTTTCTAGGGTGACATTTACAACAAACCCCAGTGAGATACACGCCAATCATTAAAAATCTATTAAAATGTTTGATGAGCTAGCTCAAGAAAACCCCTTGGAGGGTTTCCATTTCTAATGAAGCAAAACTTCTGCAAATGCAGTTTCCCATGCAGATGCAAAATCCCCGAAATATTATCCCCAAGCCCCAGTGCACATTCTCTTCCTTTTCCTCCCCCTCCCAAGTCACTTTCAAGATTTATTTTGTAATCTACCGAAGGTAAACTTCTGCCCTTTCCAATCAAGCTGGACCCCCAGCGTGCTAAATGGATATTACACAAACACCTACACAGAGAGAAAGCACAGTTAGCAAGTGATAATTCACATTGGACAGCATTCTGTGTTGCATAAACGTGTTCAGTAAATGCTCGCCCTTATTCTCATTAGTCTCAGCTCTGTAGTTTGGACTACCATGCTGGTTCTGCTCAGCAAATGCTGAGGGGAATTGCTGGCATGCAGAGCTGCAGTTAGAAAAGCTTTCAGACACTCACCCATATTCTCATGTTAAGCACTTTCCTCTCTATGAGCCTTGTGATGCTGTTTTTGGAGGATATTGTCCCTCCAGGGAGAAAACCGTCAGAAGAGATGCTAATGTTCCCAGCACATGCATGCAGACCCTCTCCCTGGGTCCCATGCTCCATCCAGTCACACCGGATCAGGATGTTGTTCTGAAGTAGGCTCTCAGAGGGGACCTGTCACTTCCCATCAAAGCACTTCACAGTGAGCGTAAGGCTCTACCTCTCTCCTGTCCACTGCCACAGTAACTCGTTGCTAATAGGTCACACAGCTGTTGGGCTATAGGATGGACATATGCCAGATGGGACAGCTCCGACGTGACTGTGTGGGGCAGAGTTCTACAGTCAATATATATGAAAAATATTCGTTGCTGCAGTAAGCTAATGGGATCATGAGGTTAATCTAGAAACTCAGCATAAGCTAATCTATTTTAATTAGTACAGGTTGTACTAATTAAACTAATTATATTAGTTTCATATTATACAAAAAATGATCAAAATATACAATGAAA